CCACACTGGCTATGGACCCTGCACTGCCAGCCAGGGCAGTGGCTTTAGTGACCATATTAACACTTAGCTCCTGCTTTAGCTTTCAGTCTCTGCAAGCATTACAGAGACATGGGCAGGGCTGGTCTGCCAATTTTACAGATGAGCAAGTTCCTTCCCAGGCCACATTGCCTAAGGTCACACAGGGAGTCAGCAGCAGAACCAGGACTGAACCCAGGAGTCCTGACTCCCTATTCACCAGGTCTCCCTGCAGCCTAGCTGTAAACCAGCAGCAAGTAGAGCTTTGCCTCAGAGACCAGTGGGTTTTACAACAGGGCGTCCAAGCTATGCCCTGGCGTTGTGTGTTCCTGGCAAGCCGCTAGCGGCCACGAGCTCATGACACTGCTAGCCGAGAGGCCCCCCCCACCCTTACCCCAGTATTTTGGGGTCCCGGGAGCCCGACAGGCTCTGCAAAGCTGTCACGGCACAAAGCAGGGGAGGAGCTGGGTCTGAGAGAGCGAGACCTGCAGGCACATGGAGCAGGATGGTAGCTGGGGAGGAGGAAGTACTCCTTCTCCTCACCCTCTGGGGTTGTGCTTTGAGCTGCCTAGAAAGCAACCAGTGTAAACGTCTGCTCCATGGTGCCAGGAACAAAGAGCTCTCAGCCCGCACTTCTCCACCACAGAACTCAAAGCGCTTTGAGGTCAGCAGCTTTATCCCTGTTTTACAGGAGGAAACTGAGGCACGGAGGGGGGAAGGGACTTGCCCAAGGTCACCTAGCAGGCCAGTGAGAGAGCCAGAAACTAGAACCCCAGGCTCCTGAGTGCTCGTCCAATGCTGTAGCCATTAGGCCATGCTGCCTCCGTCCAGTAATGGGCCTTGCTCTATACCAGTGCAAGGAGAACAGCCATGGAGGCCATGTTTCTGAGCTGCACGGGGGCCACGGCCAGAGAGCTCTAGACTCCGCCGGCAGGGCAGCCTGCTGGGTATGAAGGGCAGAAGCCCCTGAATGGGGAGACCCCAGGGGTGCAGAGGGCGAGGCGAGGGGGGAACCCACCCTGGAGCGCATGGGGTGGGAACTAGAGCGTAAATCACTCACCCGCGGGAACAGGCTCCGGCCGAGCGACCCCCTGCAGCCTCTGTCACTCCCCTAGCGCTCGGGGCTGGGCTCAGAGGGCCCCATGCTGCTCACCAGCCCTGGGAGCAAGGCAGAGGCTAGAAACGCCCCCCCTCAAACCAACCCACCGGGCGAGGCCAGGGCCCCTGGGGCTGTAACAAGGCTGGCGGGCAACAGAGAAAATCACAAGGGACCCTGGGAGCTGAGCCCCCCGCTCCCCACACGTCAGCGTTTGCAAGGGGCCCAGGAGCGCTTGCTCGGCCTGGGGGGAGCCGGAAGCCCGCCCCCCACGCAGCTCTCACGGCTGTCCCCCGGCAGGCGTCCCCGACTCCCCGATACGGGGCAGTCACAGCCCCAGAGGGCCATGGCGTTTACCTCAGCTGCTGGAGCTTATTCTTTTGGCCCTGGAGGTCCCCGCTGGCCCCCAGCACAGCGGCCAAGAGGGCCACTGCTTGGCCATCGGGATCCACGCACTGGGAGTCCACGGCGAACACCAAACCCGCCAGCCAGCCGGAGCTGGCTGCAGGCCCCAGGGCCCATCTGAGGGAGCCAGGGAGGGCAGCCGGGGCCGCGAGGAGGCTGGGCGGCGTGGCCCGGGGCTGAGGGATGCTGGGAGCGGCCCCAGGAGGATGTTTACACAGCAGACACTGGATTAAGTGGGGCCTCGTCTGCCCCACCGCTGGCCGAGTTGGGACCAGAGCCCCACACGGCCGCCTCTGTTCATTCACTTTGCTGCTTGCCTCTGAGAGCCGAGCTCAGGCTCGCAGCCGGCCTTAGGGCCCAGCAGTAACAGGCCCTTCCCTTCACAGCCCCCCCCAAGGGACAGAGCCCCCCTACTGCTGCACAGCGCCCCCACGGCCGCTCAGAGCCCTGAGAGAGGGGCTGAGCTCAGTCACCAGGCCTGGGCTCCCCTCTAGTGACGCTGTGAGGAAATGCAGGTCCAGGCTGCCAGGGCCTGGCTACCCAAGGGGTTTGTGCACCAGGCCAACCTCCTATATAGCTAGGCCAGACTGGGGCGATTTACTTGAGGGCTTGTCTACACATGAACCTTAATCCAGAATAAAGGAGGGTGTGGATGTAAAGCAGATTAACTCTTCCTGGTTAATGCCACATGTGGACACGTTTGTTCAGGAATAAGAGTGCCTTATTCCAAATTAACTTAATCCACTATAAATTTAAGACACTAATTCAGAACAAGGCACTGTTATTCCAGAATAAAAACATCCACATAGGGAGTCAATCGGGGTAATTAAGACACTTTACATTCACACCCTCCCTTATTCCACATTAACTTCCCTATGCAGACAAACAGTTATTTCAAATGAGCTTAATCCACGTCTGAAGTGGATTCATTTTTGGAATGACACGTTTATTGCAGCGTAAGAGCATTCACACAGGGAGTAATTTAGGAGCAGTTCATCTGGACTAACTCCCTTTGTAGCCAAGCCCTTAGTTTTCAGGCCAACATAAAGCCTGTTTTACTCCCCTTAGTGCACCCGCCACAGGGGACTGCAGTGCACCCATGCAAAGATCCCCCCTAGAGCCAGGCCTGACGCGCCAGCCCTCCAGAGATCACTGCATCGGGACAGCACCTTCCCTCGCACAGCGTGCTACCAGGAGCGGCTCTGGGTCCCCTTTGTTTTTTGCTTGCTTGGGCAGTTGCGCTCTCAGAACTTGGGGTGGCAAATTTTTTGCTTGGGGCCTGCCTCGCCCTGGAGACGTTATAAAGAACCAGCCAGCCACTGTGTCTTTGCTGTTGCGGCAGGCTGAGTGTGGGTCTGTCCCCCCCTAACCTGAGCCTGCAGGGGTTATAAAACAACCGTACTTTATACGGAGACGGTGCAACTGGCTGAGGGATGCTAACATAGAATCGTAGGACTGGAAGGGACCGCGGGAGGTCATCTAGCCCAGGCCCCTCTCGCTGAAACGCAAGTGGGAGAATGTACAAGCTGAGGGGTAGCATTAAGCTAGGCCTGGCACTCGGCTCAAGGCTGGGAGTTCAAAGTTTGCCAGCATCAGAGGCAGGAGGAGTAAGTGACCTGGGGTGATGAGGTGCAACGCGAAGAGCTGTGGCATAAACAAGTTACCACAAATCATGAAATCTGAATGGCATTTTTTGGGGGGTCGGGCGTTTAGTAATGCCCCTTGCTGTTAGTGCATTGAAAATGTTAATGAATGTCTTGACACAAATAGCTCTATCACTAATTAAAACATTAATTATGGTTACCTAGGAGGCCGCATATGGACAAGAGGTGGAGATTTAATTATCGATGGCCAGGGATGTTAATATGTAAACAAAGGGGTACAAAAACTGATGTAGGGATATTTACCAGTGGGGCATCAGAAGGACATAGGCAATTTATGGTGCCCTCCGCTGCCTGTCTCTTCTGTCTCTATTTTCATTGCTCCATGAAGTTGTAAGTACGTCAACTTTGTGGACAGCTTTATACTTTGTGCCCATTTATTGCCCAGTGTTTACCGTTTGCTTTGGCTTTTGATTAGAACTTTTGGGTGTCCGTGTGTCGCTAACCCATCTCAAACTCAGCCCGAATACATTTTTCTCAGGTCGCCATTTGAGTCCCGAACCTGTTGTCTGTGATCAGTTTGATTTTGCAAATTAAATCCATTCAGGGCTACACGGAGGGTGGGGCTGGCCCACATGGGAGAGGCTGATGCATTGTGGAGGAAACAGCTGGGCATGTGCCATGAGTTTGGTGGGGTCTCAGCTGAGTTCCCAGTGAAGAACAAACCAATCCCATTAACTAAGACAACTCTTCCCCGGTGCTGATGGCTGCTGCAGAGTCTCCACTGGCTGGCTGGGCCATGGAGCGGGGGCATGTGCCTTCCTCTATCCCTTAGCCCCTTGGTGTAGTTATGCTCCCAGCAGCGCAGGGATCAGCCGTTCCAGCCAGATCGGATTCACTGGCCACTTTGCTCAGGTGTTAAAAATGCAACATGGCAAATTAACTAAAAAGCAAAAAATTAGATGCAGAAAAGCCCTAGCAAGGCTGCCAGGGGCTGTCTTGATGTGCCAGGAGCAAGTCTCCCTTTGCCCTTGTGATGCCAAATAACCTTGCTGAATATTTACAGACTGCCACTTTGGCTGGTTCTCAGACCTGCCTGGCTGCAGCTCCCACTTTAATCCTTTAATCTCCTGCCAGAGGGGTCTGAACATCAGCTCTGAAATACCCGCCGGGACAGGTTCAGATCCCAACCAGGCTGCTTCCTCCCTGTCAGGTGGACAAAATGAGCTCGGGGGGTTCTTCAGACCAGGTCTTAATCAGGCTGTTTGCTCTACTCAGTGGTTGTGGCAGAGACTCATGGGCTGTGGCTGCTCCGTGCCCATGGGGTCCTGGATGTGCCACTCACAAGGTCTGTAGATCAGCTGTTCTGAGGGGCTGTGAACGCTGGAGCCATGTTTCATGGGACATGAGCACATTGAGCGGGCTGGCGGGCATGATATGCGAGATGGCTCATGGACTCTGCCTTTCCTCGGGCCTCTAGCCTGCACTCTTCCATCTAAGAGAAACTCGGCAAATATAGACATGGTCTGAGACCACATGCCTCTGCCAAGCTGTCCTGCAGCAGCTCAAGAGCATGAGTGGCAGCCTGTTAGGAAGCAGGGCACGAACCCCAACCTGGCTGTGAGCGCCATGCTTAGATCTCACGGGCCCATTATTGCGTGTGAACTCCACAGGCACCATAACCACCTACGGAATCACAGACAGTCCCCTGGGATACTCTGATCTGTCTTGCCACCCAGGTGAGCCTGCCTCTGAGAGACATGGTCCCTTACACCAAGAATCACAGCAATATTCAGGTTACTCCCAGTCCCAAAGGGCCGTCACTTACCCCAGGTTAAGTGCACCTCAGATCGCACACCAAAGATGACACACGTAGCCAATCCTATACTAACCTATCTAAAGATTTATTCTATAGAAAAGGAAATCCGAGTTATTTATACAGTTAAAGTGGGTAAACAGATGCACACAAATGAGTTCCAATCTTCAGTTTGAAAAAGTCACAGACGCTTCTATGCTATGCAAGCTCTGTGTCTCCTGCAGGGCTAACCCGGGCTGAGCAGCTGGGGATCTTTTGCTTATGCCTAGCGAGTCTTGTCCTATGCAAAGAAGCATAAAGATCCAGTTCCTCCTTGTGAGGGGTTTTTATTCCCTTCTCCTCTTCTGCTCGGAGTTGAAACTCAGCTGATGGGACATGGGAGGAATTCACGGGCGAGACTCATCTTAATAGGGTTAGGGAGCGTAAACAACCAAGTCTTTTGTCCACATTAATGTTCCGCTCTAGTCCGTCTGGTGTGGCTGGGCCTTCCTTGTAGGCTGGCGGTAACGCCTGCCGTCGGGGGCCAGCATTTCACACTAATCGCTCTCGCTCCAGTCCGGGGCTTTACACAGTTACAGAGGCTGACAGCGCAAACGCTCAGCTATTACCTTACAGGGTGGGATACAGAGTTTGACTGAGATTAACGCACGTAGCAACTCACAGCAATTCGCTGAAGTCTAAACACTAAGCACATGCTGATAATTCTACTACCTGGTTTATCACTACGAACCCCCGGGGAGCCAGACTGGTGCCCGCTGTGTATTTGTCAGCGGTCAGCTGAGGCCTGGGGACGGCGGCATGAGCTGCCACCTGGCCTGCCAGCGTCACAGCCTCAAACCCCCCAAGTGGCAGCAGGCTGCTTGGAGATCAGCGCGCAAAGCAACTCGCCGGCCGCTCCCGACCGCATTGTGTGGTGTCTAGTGACTCCGTGGGGCTTGTCCCTCCTACCCACCCAGAGCTGGCACTAGGCATACGCAGGCTAAGCAATTGTGTGGGGGCCCCGAGAGGCTCAAGGAGGCCCCCTATTGGCTTTATTCTTCCAATTTTCATAAGAACTTGCCTGTTTTCGTACTGGCTTCTCCCCTCCGGCTAAGCACGAGCCGCTGCAAGGGTGAGTGGTTCGGACAGCAGAGGGGCTGGTGGCAGTCCTGCAAACCGATCACTCGCTGCTGCAATTGACACGCACTCGGGTTCGTGCAGCCGAGCAGGAAAAAATATGGCCTGTGTGCATTGCGCAGAATCACTGCAAACTGTGACCGAGATGCGGGGAGGGCTCCCGGACAAGGGCCGGGGGAGAGATGCGTACCATCCTTCACAGAACCACAAAGACATTTACCCTCAGATGCCCCTTAGAAGGGGTGCGGCATTATCCATTGGCTGCCAGGTAGGGAAACTGAGGCACAGAGGAGGGACGAGACGTGTGTGAGATCAGCCAGTGAGTCAACGGCAGAGCTGGGAACAGGACCCAGGAGTCTTGCATCCCAGGGCTGTGCTTTGGTCACACCACTCTGCCCCTTAGCAGTGAGTGTTGAGGGGGAGGGCAGGGCAGGGTGGAGAGGAGGGTGGATGGGGGAGTGCATTAGATGCCTGGGGAGGGCAGGAGGGATTTTTTTGGCCAATCCTGGGCTGAACAGTACAGATCTTGGCAGGGGGTCAGACTGCATGACCCCTATGGTTCTATGGTCCCTTGCCTTGTTTGGCCGGGACACTTCAGTCCCATCCCTAGACCACCTCTCAGCCCAGAGTCTGGTCTCTGGGGGAGGCAGCCCCCCTAGGTCCCAATCCTGCACCTGATTCTGCGCAGGCCCAGAGGGGCCCAGCAGAGCAGAGGGGGCAGGAGCGCAGGGGGGCCCCCCATCTCCAGAGGGTTCTTACTCCTCCATTGGTCTGCTCCTGCCTAGTGCCCGGGTACTGCAGAGCTTATGGAGGAAAGACAGAGCCACACCCGGACAAAGCAGGGTTAAAATGCTTCCACTGTGCCCAGTGCTGATCTCCAGGAGGGGCGCTCCCGCCTACCATGCCAAGGGCTGGGCTGAGGCTCCCTATCACCATGGGAGGGTGCCTGGGGCTCGGACAGTCTCCTGAGCGCGCCGGGTGCTACATGCCCAGCTTGCTGCTGCAGTACTCCACATAGTCAAACTCCTCGATGGCGAAAGTCACCCGGCTCCACTGCTTGGTCTGTTTGTTCCCGTCCGGTGTCGCCACCACGAAGTTTTTGATGGAGAGGACGGGCAGCGTCACGCTGCGGTAGATCATCTCTATGCCCCAGGCCTGCATGGACAGACGAGGGACACATCACCTGGATGGACAGTCAGGACCCACCGCAAATCGCCGGGACCAAAACGGTCACACATCTGGGCGACAGAGCTTCCAATCTGATCCCCAAGCTGAATTGTACAAATGGCTCCAAGTCATAGACAGGTGAGTGTATATACCTGAACCACACACACCCAGTCACACACAAACCGACACACACATACAGACACATGCTCACACTCACTCCCACATACACCCAAGATCCAATGGCTGGAAGTTTAATGCAGAAAAACTCACATTGGAAATTCTGAAATGTGAATAATTAGCCATCAGCGCAGACCCCACTATTCCCAATTGCCAGGATTTAATATTTGATGCTTTCCTTAAAGCCCCAGCTCCTGGAGTCATGTGATGGGGGGGGAAATCTCAGCTTTCCCTTAAAAGAAAAAGGAAGTTTCTTGCCCTCATGGCTCCGCAGAAAAGCTGGGAGGAGGGGAGCTGTGACTCCTAAAGGCTCAGAAACCACCTTTTTAGAAACCTCATGATTTTTGAATGTTTGGGGCTGGCAGCCTGGGATCCCCAAGGGATGTGTGGGTTCTCCGTCACTTGGACTCTGTCCATGCAAACTGGGAGTATTTCCAATTTGACCCCAGGGCCAGCTTACCCAGTAAGGGAGAGTCACCTATGAAAGCAGCTAACAGCGTTGCCCGGCCCCAGCGGGTTCCCCAGCCGCGGACTCACCTGGCCGCAGCTGGCACAGCTGATGCTGCCCCCTGGCTTCCAGTCCTTGAAGTTCCGGGGAATCTCCACTTTGGCGGACGTGGCGTTGTAGTAAATCCTGCAGGAAATGCACCAAGAGCCGTTGCCATAAGAAGCTAAGAAGAGGGTGCTTGTGAGCCAAGAGTGCAGAGCTCTCAATTGGAGCCAGCACGCAGCCACCTGGGGAGGGGAGCTGCCCTCCCACCGCCCAGGAAGAGGGACAATCCCAGCCCCAAGTACGGCCAAGCTGTTCCCTGGAGCAGACGGGAATGATCCAGGCCTGATGGGGCCGAAAGACGTGTCTCTCCAGGATCTTGCTAGGGAGCCCTAGCCCCGCAGGGAGTCCCAGCGCTGAGTGAGGGGCCAGCAGGGCTGCCAGGCAGGGGGCCTCAGCGCAGAATGAGAGAGGTCTGAGGGCAGGGGGTCGGGGAACATCTAGCGACTGTCCCCAGATTCCCTTGGCCCAGTGGGTGCTGGCAGGCGTCTGCCCACCTCCCCTCCCAGCTCTGGCAGCCCACACAGAGCAAATGGCCGGGTGCCCCTGGGGGATATGGGGGCCGTTGCTCACTCGGGTCCCCTCCCCGGTCCCCATCCCCCCAGTCCGCCCTCACTTGAAGTCCGGGTTGACGTTGACGTGGTGCATCTTCTCCACGGTGCGCAGGTCGCTGCCGTGGCACACGGCCACGTTGCAGTTTATACAGTGGAGGCGGACGGCGTCCGGCTCGTGCAGCTGCCGCTTCTGGTTGCCTTCAGCCCTCTTCACCTTCCGGCTAACGATGGCGCTTCGCTGCAGGGCTGCGATCTGTGGGAGGGGAGGGCAGCTCAACGGCGGTGTGGCGGGAACACCACGGCAGGCGAGACACCCACAGACACGCGGCAAGAGGCACCACCAGCCCCCTCAGCTCCGCTCTGTCCCCACCGCCGGCCTGGGGCGGGCACGTGGGGGCCTTAGCACCGACCAGGCTGTCTGAGCAGCGTGGCTGGGGTGGAGAACGGGGCCTGAGGTGCCAGTGGGCCCAATGCACCGGGAACCCCCCTCTGCACCATGGCGCGTGGACACGGGCCGTGCCGAGTGCCGGCCCCCTCACCGTGTCCCGGTACTCCTTCTCCGGCATGGCCTGCACCTCTTCGATGACTCTTTGCGTGAGCTCCTCCAGGGTCTCGTTCAGCCGCTCCCGCGACACCTCCTTGCTGTTGGCCTTGGCGAGGACGGAGTACAGACTGTTCTTGGCGCGGGCGCGGCCCCTGGCCTGTGCAAACGGGGACGCGCAGTCGGGTCACGCCTGAGGTCAGCTCAGGAAGGAGCCCAGGGAAAGCGCCGGCAGCGCCCCTCCCCACACCCTACCCAGGAGTAGGGGGATGGGAGGTCTGCAACACCCCCTAGCGAGGGGGTTGGGGGAACGCTGAGCCCACTGGGTGTGGGCGGCTTCGCCATCCTCTGGTGCTGGCAGATGGCACTGGGGATGCAAGACCTTGTGGGCGCAGCCCCCCCACCAGCATGCCTAGACCCTGGCCTGCAGGGAGCCCCCCAGAGAGCAGTGGGGAGTCTGGTCTCTGTGCCCCATGTGGCCCTGGCCTCGCTGCACAGCTCCTGCTCCCGAGCTCTGCACCTGCTGCATCGAGAGGGACCCGGCTGTGAGCGGCGCCCAGCAGGACTCCGGGGAGCCGGGGGCCAGGTGTGTGTCAGACAGACCCAGCCAGGTGGGCCTGGGACAGGCAGCTTCCCCCTGCACCGAGGAAGGCAGCAGCTTGCCCCACCCCATGGAGCCGAGACGCACAGCCCAGCCTAGTGCTCGGTCTCTCAGAGCCAGGAGGGAGGGATCCGGGGAACAAGGGAAGAGCCTGGCCAGGACCCAGGAGCGGCCGGCTACCTGCACCATGGCAATCTCGTTGGTCATCAGCCCGTAGCGAACCACAATGTTGCATTCTGGGATGTCCAGGCCCTCCTCGGCCACGCTGGTGGAGAAGAGCAGGTTGAAGTCTCCCTTGCGGAACAATTTGATCACGTCTTGCTGCTCGTTCTGGGAAGAGAGAAGGGACGGAGCTGTCGTTCCCGCCCACGGCTGCAGGGGCCGTTCCAGGGTCCCAGGCAGGCCTGTCTGCAATCACCCAGCCGCCGGGCTAAAGGACAACAGGGAACCTTGGAAAGATGGGACCTGGGACACAGAGTCTGAAGCTGCAGCTCTGCATGGGGACTCCCCAGTACACGGCCCCAGGGCCCCCCGGGCCACGACAGGGTGAGAATCACACGGATTAAAAACTACTAACTCATTCCTTCCCTCCCAAGTGCGAGGGGACAGGTCCCTCACGCTTCTTTCAGCTCACCCAGTGGGGTGGGGTGGGGCAGGAGAGGCTCCACGGGGAGGCCCTTGTGGTTAGAACAGAGGAGGGGGTGGGAGTCAGGATTCCTGGGTTCTTTTCCCAGCTCTTGGAGGGGCTGGGACTCCAGGGTTGTCTTCTCCCAGCTGCGAGAGGAGACTGGGTCCTAGTGGGGTACAGCTTGGGGGTCAGGACATCTGGGTTCTCTTCCCAGCTCTGTCACCAGCCTGGGGAGCACGGCACTTGCTTCTTTGTGCCTCAGTTTCTCGCTACTCTCTCAAGAGGGTGTGTGCGTGCAAAGCTCCTGGAGCTCCTGGGCTGAGGAGAGCCATGCTGGGCACTGCTGCCTTCACCCCATCTGCCTCCTCCCTCGCACACACCCACCCACCTGGGTCATGTGCTTGGTCTGGTTGCTATAGCCGGCTCCAGTTAGGACAGCTGCCTTAATGCCCAGCCTTGCCAGCTTCGTGTTCTCCTGGATCCACTTGTGCAGGGCGTGGGCGCTCTGGCGCGTCTTGGTGAAGATGATGCCGCGGGAGCTGTCTGGGGTCTTGAACTGCTCCTGGAGGATCTCCTCCAGCTTGCTCAGCTTGGGGTTCTCGTAGCGCGGGTCGCTGGCCAGAGCCAGCAGGGCTGTCCTGTTCTCTGCAACAGGACGCACAGACGGATGAGCACTGCAGCTCTGAGCCAGCGAGCCCCCGGGCTCATTTACAGCACACGCACCCTGGCCCAGGATTCAGCCCCAGGGCCTGCAGCGCTAAGAGCACAGACTTCTACCGCTGAGGTGAAAGGAGCGACTCTGGTAGCTGGCAGCTGCAGTAGGCTCTTATCCGCTCCTGGGGACCGGCCCCCCTCCCCACCATGGGTTACATTAATCCTAACGCTCTTCACACGTAATGGACATCTGGCAGCGAGTCCTCCCAGAGAGAGGTCCCATGCCCCTAGCACTGTGAGGGGCAGCGTGGCCTAGTAGTTAGGACACTGGACTGGGAGTCAGGACACATGGGTTCTAGTCCCAGTTCTGCCACTTGCCTGTCTGGGCAGGTACGTGCCCCCACTTCCTGGGGAGGGTTCTCTGGCCTGCCCTATGCAGGAGGCCTGCCTAGATGAGCACACTGGTCCTAGCTGACCCCTCCCCTTGCTTTGTTATGGGCTCTCCAGGTCCCCCCCGTATCCCGCTTCCAGCCCTCACCCTCAAAGGTGCTGACGAGGAAGCGCTCCGTGGGGTCCTGCAGAACCTTGGTGGCCTTTTCCAGCTGGTAGAAGTCGTCCAGGGTGCTGAAGGCATCGATGGCACGCACCGTGTCATTGATCAGCAGCGCGTCGTTGTACTTCCGCAGGTGGATGGCGCACGTACGCTTCTTACGGCAGAACGACTCGGCTCCTGGGGACGTAGGAACAAAACCACTGTAGCGGCTGCTGAGGGCCAAGCCCCCGGCACGGTGCCTTGGACAGTCACTGACAGCGGGGCCAGTGCGGGGACCGGGCTCCGGACTCCTGGGTTCTATTCCTGGCTCCGGGAGGGGAGTGTATCTAGTGTTAGAGCAGGGGAAGCTGGGAGCCAGGACTCCTGGGTTCTATTCCCAGCTCCAGGAAGAAAGCATGTTGCAAAGGCCCATTACACAGTGAGGAGGAAAAGGCAGTAACAGAAAATACCACGCTGGTGACTGTGGTTACTGAGCAGTATAACCTGGCTCAGTCCCCCACAGCAGCCGGGGGGCGGGATCAGAGGCCCAGGCTATCCCACAGGAGGGGCGGGGTAATTCCTTCCCCGGATCACTTTGCGCCTTGGTGCATGAGGCTGCACAATCCTTGGGATTGGATTCATGGTTCGGGTCACTGCAGGCACTGTTCCGTGCAAAAACCCTGCAGGACTATTAGCTTCCTTCCCACCCTGCAGCAGGGAGTTCCACAGCTAAGGGACATGCTGAGGATTCTGCCCTCTCGCAAGCACTGCCATTGGGATCCGCGTGGGTGCCCGTTCTGGAGCCCAGGTGGTTTATCTAAGCCATTTGTGTGTAGACACAGTAACGCCTGGAGGGATCCCATTGTGCTAGGCACCACATGGGCACATGATAAGAGACTAGCCCTGCCCCTTCAGTTGAAAGAGAGGATCGTTATCGCCATTTTACAGGTGGGGAAACTGAGGCACAGAGCAGTGAACTGACTTGCCCAAGGCCAGGCGGAGCTGGGAATTGAATCCAGAGCTCCCGAGTCCCAATCCAATGCCTGAGCCACAAGTCCAACCTTCCTCCCCCTGATTAGCTCTAGATTTCTACGGATCCTCCCAACCCCCATGCACTGGGGCACAGCCCCTCACCTTCCGTCCCCAGCTCGACAACGCGCTGCTCGTAGATCTGTGTGCCGAAGTCCTGCGGCACGCCGCGAACGTCCAGGTACTGGTGGATGTGGGCCATGGTCTCCTTCAGCTTCCTGCCCAAGGGATCCTGGAGAGCAGAGTGTGGCGGGGGAGCTCAGAGGGGCTCAATGTCTCTAGGGGAAGGCTGCTGCCCGCGGCGTGCCCTGAGGGCACGGTGCAAGCCGGGTCGCAGGCTGGGACCACAGGGGACCCAGCTGATTATGGGATGGGCTGTGAAGGGCCCTGGCTCGGCCACCCCTGCCCACCTCCCAGGCTCTGACCTAAGCTGAGCTGACTGAGGGGTTTAAACCCCGAAGGGCTGTCACTGGCCTCCCCTGCAGTGGGGTCTCTCTCTTCCCCCCTGGGGTCCGCGCCCATGTGCAGCTCCGAGAGTCCTATACCTGCAGCCTCTCGTGGGACACATCGTACTGCTTCCTGGGCTGCGGGACCTGAGCCTCCAGGTGGACACGGTGCTTCTGGGACGACATGATTTTGGCGGTGTCCAGGTTGGCGCAGATCTAAAAGAGTTAAACACCCTCCCCCCCCCGAGAGCCGTATGAGCCACATGCCAGCCCCTCCGGCATCCTGCTCTGAGCCACAGGCACTAGTCTGGGGCCAAAGGGCACATGCCTGGACGCACTGAGCTGGGAAGGTCCCAGTGCAAAGAAGGAGGTGGGGGGGGATATCCCAGATGTACCCAGGCAGGGATACCATCAGCATCCTAGCGTGGCACCAGCAGCCACTCACACCCCCACACCCTGAAGACATCCCCTGACAGACGCCAGAGGGAACAACACTGCAGCTCCGTGATCCATGTGGCTGCTGTGGCTAGAATCTCAGGTGTGTCAGGTGACCAGATGCTGAGGAGATGGGCTCCCTTGGTGGACAGCTTGCACGGCCCCAATTTCGTCTCCAAGGGCCTTTTCCAGCAGCCAAAAGACAAGCCTGGTGCAATCTCAGGGAGGTGCCGCAGTTCCTGGGCCACTGGGGTGGCAGCCAGCCACGTCCCCCTCTTAGCTGGGATGCGGGGCACGAGGAATGCTCCACTCACCTGCAGGATGTGCTGCCTGGCCCCCTGGAAGTTGGTGGCCCCCCCGGTGCCGGGAGAGGCGGTGAGGCCCAGGATCTGCGGCAGCTTCCGCTCGCCTCTTATCTTGCGCTCCAGGTAATCCTCCATGATCTGGTTGTAGACGCCGTCCTTGTGGGTGTGGTGGCATTCGTCAATCACCAGCAGGGAGAAATCTGCCCAGGGAGACGAGGCTGAGCCAAGCTGAGGAGCCTGGAGAGAGGCTGATGGGGATGGGGCGTGGGAAGAGGCTCCGGAAGGAGCGGGAGTGACTAGGGTGCTAGCTGAAGACCCGGGGTCAGTTCCCAGCTCTGCCACAGACTCCCTGGGGCGCCTTGGGCACATCACTTAGCCTCTCTGGGTTGCAGTCCCCAGCTGCCAAATGGAGACATCAAGTCTGGGAGGATTTCAAGGCACAGATGCTTCAGCAAGGGGACCGTGTGGGCAGAGCTAGGGTCTGCTCTGTGAGGTGACCAGCAACTGCCGAGGGCAGGGGAATGACACTGTCTTGTCTGCCTCCCACGGACTCCAGATCAAATGTGGGCAGTTTACAAAACATCGGCACTGGCCCTTCTCCCGCCCTTTGATCTCCAAGGCAGGGCAGGCTCACTGTCCCCACTGTATCGACAGGGAATGAATCGGCCATCGTCACGTTGTGGCCTGGCTCCCAGCCCAGGGCTCTGCCCAGGGACCAGCCCTTTTCTCTTGCTCCCACCATCTCCATCCCCCAGGATCTGAGAGTCAAGCTGGGTTTTCTCGCTGGCTTGTGCACAGTCAGCAGCAACCAAAGGCCAGATCCTCAGCCGGTGTCAATCAGCACTGACATCAGCACACCCAACTGACCTGAGCTGGGGATCCGGTCCTGAGATCCCAGCCCCACGTGGGACGGCTCCCATCCCGCCGGGCTCCTACCTGTCAGCTCCACGTGCATGTCCTGGTCCTGGCTGGTCAGGGCGTTCTGCAGGATCTTCGCTGTGCAGATCACCAGGTCGCTCAGCTTCACCTCCTGGGAGAAGAAGAATTTCCGGTCGCTGTCGCTGCTGATGGGCGTGACCTGGAAGCGATCCCGCAGCGCGTGGAATTCCTGCATGTAGTGCTGATCCACCAGGTGCACCTAGCGACCCAGCACACAAGAGACGCCCGGTGAGGCTTGTGTGCTGAAGAGCATCAGCCCAGAACCTTCCCTGAGCTCAGGGTGGGGTGGAGAGCAGGGTCTGGGGAGAGCCCTGGCTGCTGAGCTGAGCGACCTCCCATGGACAACAGAGGCCAAGCAGAGCAGCCCCTGCCCACCCCGAGCCAGCCACGCCCGGCCGGTCTAGGGGGCTCCAGCGTAGGAGCAGGTGTTTGGGGACCCTCCCTCCTTAGCATGGGTCCTCGGCAGGTTTTGAACCCAGGACCTTCAGCACAGCCCTCTCCATCACTGGAGCTAACAGGATAATGCCATTAGCTAGCAGCAGTAGTAGGCTGTTATCCTCTCACATGGACCAGCTATGCAGAGAACACAGCACACAGTGCTGGGGTGCCATGCTCGGCCGTGGGGGAGGATGGGCGGCCACAAGACCTGGCCGCTGTGCAAGCTGAAAGGCTGCAGCCTCCAGAGATGTCTGGCCAAAGGGACTGAGCCAGCTCTCGGCTACCTGGGCAGAGGGGGAAGCGGGTGTGTTTTGCCTGCTTGCTTTCCCACCCGCTGCATGAACACAGCTCCCCCCCAGCGTAAAATCCACCCCCTTGAGACCGTGAGGCCAGCCTGATGTGGGTAATTAGCCCAAAGGCCCTCTGCCCCCACAGCCCCGCCTGGCACATGGCGACCATCCAGCGAACGTGGGGACTCAGCCCACACGGCTCCTCCGTAACATGGAGCATGTTTGTTGTGCAAAGAGCTGAAGGCCTGCGGCAGGGGCGGCTCCTCACTCTGGCTGGTCCCCTCTCCGGCTGCAGCCCCAACATGTCCTGCCTCCCCGTCATGTCTGGCCGGGGCAGGCTAGGCTGGGAGAATCAGCCCCACCCCAGCATGAGCCATGCCCCCCGACCAGTGCAAAGCCAGTCTCACCCTGTTCACCAGCACGGCCACCTTGGCCCGCTCCCGAGTCTCCAGGTGCCTCTTGCACACATAGGCGGCTGCCCGGGTCTTCCCTGAACCAGTGGGCAGCCAGATGATGATGTTCTTGCCCTCCAAGGCGGGCAGGATCACTTCCCACTGATAGTCACGCAGCTCCATGTGGGTGGGCACTGGGCACCTGCAGGAAGCGCAGGGCCAGTGTGAAGGGGGCAAAGCTGGTATTAGCATGGACAAAGCAAAGCTAGCCCCCTGCCCTGCCTTCCAACCCCTCCCTCTCTCCACCCCCTGATCAGCCCCCATCCCCCATTTCTCAACTCCTTACTGGGCTTCCAGCCTACGCCTCTCTCCACCCCCTGCCCAGCCCCCAATCCATCATCCCCCCGACACCTTCCATCCCCTCTCCTGGCCTCCTCCAATCTACCCCCTCCACTCCGCCTGGCCGCCCAAGCTCCCTGCAGGCAGAGAACGGTCCGGTCAGACAGGAGCGTGGGCCACTGAGCCACCCACCGCTGCCCCAGCCCCGCACCTTAGAACCGTGGACCCATGGGCTTAGAAGGTACCAGGGCAGCTCGTCTTACCCCCCAGCGTCCGTGAGCCTGGGCAGGATGCCTGTGCCAGCCAGCAGCCCCTGGCCCCAGGGGGTACCCCCAGCCGGAGGGCGAGGGCAGGGGCGGGCGGCAGGAGCAGACGGGCACCTCTCGCCCAGCAGCGCCCCTCTCCGCCCAGAATCACCCCGCTGGCAAATGGACCCGGGTGAGTCGCCTGCTCCCCACTGGCCCGGCAGCTGCCCCAGCCAAGGCCCGAGACCTTGGGCTTTTAAACTCTCGCTTCAGAGCCTGAAAGCAAAACACTTCCGGGAGCCCCAGCCAGGGGGGTCTCACAGCAGCTCCGCCGAGCCTGGCTGCCCACCTCCTGCCAGCTGCAGCTCCCGCCCAGGGCTGCTGGAACTAGGGGTGCTGGGAGGGGCTGCAGCACCCCCCTGGCTTGAAAGGGTTTCCATTATACCCAGGATTTACAGTTTGGTTCAATGGCTCTCAGCACCCCGCCTCCCCATACCCATTATTCCAGCCCCCCCTGCGCCGGGCATGCTTAACCCAGGTTACACTGACCTGGATCCGGGAGCCGAAGTCACAAGCCCAGCGCAGGGCTCGGCTACACCACAGTGAATCCGCAGGTCGCTGCACCAGCTGCTTGCACTGCCCTGGAGTCCCCCTCAGGGATCCCCCAGCCAAGCCGTCACAGACAGAAATCAAAACCAAATCCAGTGCCAGACACAGAAACCGGGCTCCTGGGGAGGGCAGCCCCACCCTGAGCTCAGCCCCCAGGCAGGGCCTGACCCGGTTATTCCCAGTAGCAGAAGTTCCAGCAATTTCTTGGGGGCCCAGCAGTCAAAAAGCAAATTGAAAGTTGGGCCTCATTAGGAAAGGGATCGATAATAAGACAGAAAACATCATATGCCTCTATATAAAGCCAGAGTACGCCCACACCTTGGACACTCTGAGCAGCTCTGGTCGCCCCCTCTCGAAAAAGATCTATTGGACTTGGAAACGGTTCAGAAAAGGGCAACAAAAATGATTAGGGGAATGGAATGACTTCCCTATGAGGAGAGATGAATAAGACTGGGACTTTTCAGCTTGGAAAAGAGACGGCTAAGGGGAGATATGATCGAGGCCTATAAAATCATGACTGGGGTGGAGAAAGTGAATCAGGAAGTGTTAATTACTCCTCATAACACAAGAACTAGGGGTCACCCAATGAAATTAACAGGCAGCAGGTTTAAAACACATAAAAGGAAGTATTTCTTCACACAACGCACAGTCAACCCGTGGAACTCCTTGCCAGAGGATGTTGTGAAGGCCAAGACCATAACAGGGTTCAAAAAAGAACTAGACAAATTCATGGAGAATAGGTCCATCAATGGCGATTAGCCAGGCTGGGCAGGGATGGTGTCCCTAGCCTCCGTTTGCCAGGAGCTGGGAATGGGAGACGGGATGGATCACTTGATGATTCCCTGTTCTGTCCATTCCCTCTAGGGCCCCTGGCACTGGCCACAGTCGGAAGACAGGACATGGCTAGATGGACTTTTGGTCTGACCCACAATGCCCCTGAATCGCAAGGAAACAAATAGGGGCAGTTTGGCTCCATTTCCCAGCCAGCCCTCGAGCCAGTCTTGTACGCTAAGCAGCTGTCTTGGCTCCCACTCAGGGCCATGCTCTCCACTGCTTCTCCCCCCGTTCTCTTGGTATTCTGCTTTCTCTCACACACAGCTGCAACCAACCAGCCCTAACACCTGCATCTGCAATCAAGCCTGGGGAAACCTCTCAGATCCCACTGCTTCACTCCAGCCTGTGGCCCAGTGACATGGGTGGTGGTCTCCTATTGTTTCCAGCTATTGCTAGATGTTGGGATATTTAATTGCTTGTCCCATTGAGCCTGAATGAAGGATGCCTCGGCCTAGCCATATTGACCGGCTGCTGTTTAGCAGCAGCCGTCAGCACAGAGATCTCTGGGCAGTTACCGGATGTCGCCCTCGTCCTTACACTGCTGCACTTACACCCACAACACACAGGGGCCAGTGGGCAGAGCCCTGGACAGTGTTCACTTCCTAACTCTGCTTTGGCCCTCACGTGTGACCTTGGGCAAGTCCCATCCCCCTGGCTCTGCTTGAGACTGGGCGCTCTGGGGCAGAGACTCTTGCTGGTTCATGGCCCCTGGCACAAGAGGGGCCTGAGCTCAGCTGGGGCTGGCCTCATGGTACAATTACTAGAGGGGCCCAAGTCTCTAGCTCCAGCTGGCAGGTGACACCACTTAGCAGGGAGGTGTGCCAGGGAGAGCATGGCAGGGCTCTGGCGTACCTTCACCCCGCTGGCTTCCACACAGCAGGGGCTGAGCGCAGCCCAGGCTGGCTGCAGCCGGTGCTACCGTTACACACGCTCCCAGGCCCGTGTCCCAGCCCACCTGCACCGACTGGGGCCCCACTGTGCACGATTAACTCTGAGGGACACAGGGCTCAGCCTAGGGGCAGTGGGCACCGCAGAGCACGTGGTGGGAACTGTCTACCCTGGGCTCCCAGCTGAGTCAGGGCCGAGGGGGGGGGGTGGGCCCTGGCGGGGGTTGCGAGAAGGGATTGCTTTGCAGGCTGTTTGACCATCTCATTCCCAGGCTGGTGCTCGCGGCTTCCTGCTGCAGCTGGACAGAGGTGGTGGCAACTGGCGTCAGCCAACAGTCTGGGGCAGAGCAGCACCATGGGCATCTCAGGAGGGGACCGGGGGAGGCTGCCCACCCCCAGTGCCTCGCTGCTGGGGGCCCCGGGACACCAGGAGACAGACACGTGCTTCACGGGGGCCACGTACATTTATTTAAAAAAATAAAATAAAGGAAAATAAAAATGAAATGGGGAGATGGGAAGGGCCCCTGGCAGCAGGACCAGTTGCCCCATGGCAGCGCATGAGAGACAGGCCAGCGCGCGGGGAGAATAAGGCAACAGTGAGCAGTCTGGGGGAACACGACGGCAAAATGCTTCCCCCGCCTGGCTGCTCTTCCATCCGCTCCTCTGCGTTGCTAGTGACTTCAGCCAGGCCGCCAGGAGCAACACGGGCTGGTACCACAGGGAGGTGACCGATGAGCCAGAGGGCAACAGCTCTTTACTTCGCGGGGGCCTGTCGCTCTGCCAGGACTCAGGGGCCCCCTGCCATGGAGGGGAGGCAGAAGGAGCAGGAGGCTCCTGTTTCCCGAGGGGTTGCAGGACAGCTCAGTAACCCAGCTGTGAGGCAGGGAGCAGCCGCCCCAGGGCCCATCATTCCCTTGCCCAGGGGACTCCGTTCAGGCCGCAGAGGAAGGAGCAGGGAGGGGTCCTGGCTTAGCCGCTCACCACTCTGTTTACCCCTGCACAGCAAAGCTCCAGCCTAGGACCTATTTCCCCTGAGCTGTCACCCCACCACACTGGAGAACCCTCCCCTGCCCCAGGGCCTGCAGCCCAAGTGCCACTGAAATGGAGGGGCAGGAGCCCATGGTGGGAAGCTTTGCCCCAGGTGGCCCTTACTATGGCGCAGGAGTGCAGCGCTCAGGGAGCTGGAGCCGGGAGAAGCCCTGGAGCACGGGGCAGGGGAGATGGGGTCAGAATCTGGTGCAGCTCAGAGGGCCCGCAGCAGGGGCTAACACGCTAGCCGAATGGCTCACCCCAGAGAAGCAGGGCTGGGGCCGGACTCACAGGCAAGGGCCCAGCCCCAGGGGAGCATGCAGCGCCGGGGCAGGACAGAACAGAGCATCGGCCGCAGGCCGAGCTGCTGGGGGAGGAATGGCTGAGAGCTGATACAGACCCCTCGGACCACCTCACACAGCCTGCAGCCGAGACCCTGAACCCAGGCAAGGCCAGAGTGGGGCAGCTCCCGTCCCCACTGCCCTCTAGCCAGCAGGGGAGGAGAACACCGACCCCATTTTACATTCATGCAGTGAGTAGCAGGGAGGGATGCTCCACGGGGAGCAAAGGAGCGGGCAGGAACAGGAGGCGAAGGGAACACAGCAGGCTGCGGCAGGAGCAGTGTTCGTATGGGAGATGCGGGGGGGGAGTGGGGGCTGGGCCTCGGCCACATAAAGCAAAGACATGCCATGTGCATAGCCCAGGGGAATTTCAAGCCCAGCAGGTCCATGCCCCGGCTGAATCCACTGCAGAGCCAAGAGCACCCCGTGGCTCCTGCCTCCAGGGTGAGGCTCCGAGTTTGTGCAGCGACACCCGCATGCTGAGTGTCACCTGGACTGCTGCAGAGGGGCCCTGGGCCGCTCCGGTCCTGGTTGCTGCCCCGGTGGCTAACGCAGCCCTGACACCAAGGGGAGAGGCCAGTGGTGAGCCAGCGAGTGCCAGCAGAGAAGCCAGAGTCCCAGGGGCGTCCCCCAGCAGCAGGAGGGGAGCTGGCCCCACACTCTGGCCGTTCAGCAGCTATGCACGCCCCGCCCCCACCTGATCCGGGCTCGGAGAAGCCCAGGAGACCCTCCTGGGAGAGTGACGCAGGAAGCGATGTCCCGGCCAGGAGCTCCGGGCACAAGGGAAGCGCGAGGCCAGGAGGAGACGCTGAAGGGCCAGGGCCCCCCAAGTGCCTACTTGTCTATGAGCCCGGCCTCCTTGAGCTTGAAGTAGAAGAACTTCTCGAGGGCGTTGGCGCACTTACAGTAGTCGCTGTCGGGGGGGTTGTACTCCCGGCAGTTGGTGATGATGCGCTGCAGGTCGGCGACGAAGAGCTTCTTGGTGACGTAATAGCGGTTCTTCAGACGCTCAGTCATGGTCTTCAGGTCTGCAGGGGGCAGCAGCTTACTTCCTCCGTGCTTCCCCCTCGTCAGAGCCCAGCGCCCTCAGCCCCACAGAGGGGAAACGGGGGCAGCGACCAGCGTGCGGCTGGCTGGGTTACTCCCTCCGTGCTTCCCCCTCGTCAGATCCCAGCGCCCTCAGCCCCACAGAGGGGAAACGGGGGCAGCAACCAGCATGCGGCTGGCTGGGTTACTCCCTCCGTGCTTCCCCCTCATCAGATCCCAGCGCCCTCAGCCCCACAGAGGGGAAACGGGGGTGCAGTGAGTCAGTGACAGAGCCAGGAACAGAATCCAGGAGTCAGGGCTCCCCACCTCTGCCTTGGCCACTAGAACCTCACGTACCCCTGCCACAGGAGAGGGCAGAACCCAGCCCTACTCCAGCCACTAGATTTCACTTCCCTACCAGAGGTGAAATAGGACCCAGGAGTCCTGCCCCCCCACTGCCACTGTATACCCCACGCAGCCCATGCTTGCCTCGCCCCACCCCCCACCCCGCCGGGCATGCGGCGCTCCTGGAGCAGCGTGGGCCTCGGGCAGATCGGCCACCTACCGATGGGGAAGCGAATGATCTCGTAGTAGTCAGGGGCCTCTGACTTCTTCACGGGCTCCATGAAGGGCCAGGCGCTGGGGTGGGTCTGTGGGGGGCGAGGGGCAGTTAGAGCCTCACGCATGGCGGACAGATCGAACACCCCTCCCGCTGCACAACCAGCCTGCTACCGCCCTCTTCCAGAGCCAGGCCTGGGAGGTGCCTGGCTCCTGACCCCCACCCTGAGGACAGGGAGCTCAGACAGAGCGAGATGCCCTGGACTCAGGGACCATGGATCAGAACCAGCCGAGGTGCCTCTCCCCCGGCTGCTGGACCCAGCTGTGGCAGGGGAAGGTGCCAGAAACCCCATGGTTCAGGGAGAACCCGCCCGGAGCCCTCAGTTGGCGACTGGCATGTGCCCAGGCATGGAGGCTCTAATGGACCCATGGAAGCTCTTGATACCCAACAAAGTCTTTGCCTCCAGCATCTCTCGGTGCCCAGAGTGAGACCCCAGGGGAGATGCCCCCCACGCGCCATCACCTTGATTTGGGCCAGGAGGTTTTTCAGGGTGTTGTACAGCTGGTCTGGGTCCTTGAGCTCCTTCCTGCAGGAGAAGGGGTCAGATGAGGTCAGCATCCACCACGTTTGTCCCCTCCCAGCACCTGCAGGCGAGCGGGCATCGAGCTCTCACGGCTAGGCGAGGCCCTGGCCCTCCCGCGTGGGGGGGACTCGTGTCCTCCCTCCTGGGCAGCCTGCTCAGGGCACTCTGCTGCAGCAGGACACGCTGCCTCCATTTTGAGAGCAGCGGCCTGCCAGGGACAGAGCCACACGAGGGATCCCTGAGGCAACGTGACCAGGCTCAGACCACGTGTGTCACGGCTGCTCCCACACAGCTACGGCCCAGACGCCCCAAGGACGCTGCTGCCCCGAGATCTGACAGCCTGGGGTCCCCTGCCGGGGTGGTGAGAATGGACTGCAGCCACGTGCCATCCCTGCATTGTCTGCCAGGCCAGGGAGACAGCTCCAGGGCCCTCCAGCAATCGCCCCTTTTGGCCCGGACTGCTGACAGGGGTAAGATATCAAACCGGCGCCGCTGCTCCCCCCACTCAGTACCCCTGGTGAGCTCCCCAGGCCAGCAGCGACAGACGCGCGGCTGGGAACAGCACTTACCCTTTCTCCTTCCCCAGCGGCCGCCATCCCGTGTCTCCTGGAAGGCAGGAAGAGGCGTTCGCTCACGCCATCAACCGCGTCCCAATCCCCTCCCCAAGCGCCGTCCCTGGGTAGCACTCCGCCTCCATGACCTCCGAACTGCCCGACCCAGCCCTCCAAAACCTGGCTAGGAGGGGCACGACCACCCCCTCCGCTGCCCCCGGAATGCACTGCTCCACCGAGACGTGCCGGGAGCTGTACAGTCCTGCAGAGCCGAGGCTGGGATGCCAGCTGTGCTCCTGTCCAAGTGCACAGATCAGAGCCACTGCCAGGCGGCCGGCTGCAGAGCCGTTCAACCCCTCCGCTCTCTCCTGAGGCTCCTGCTCTTGTTACTGTATTAAGGAAGGAGCCGGCCGCTGCCCAGCCTCGCCCCCCCAGGACAGGGGCCACTGGGATGCTGCACGCTGCAGCGGGGACCGTGCCGTGGCACAGCCTGGCCACAGCCGAGACCATTTGCAAAGGGACAGGCACAGGCGCCAGGTGGGTAGCTACGGCCGCCGTGGCCGGGGGTAGCCGTCAGAGCCCTTCCCTGCTGCCGGAGCAGGCAAAGCCTGGGCTGCAGATGTTCGTGGCCGGAACTTACGGATTCCAGGGATGCTCTCGACAGGGATTTGCCGCACGCCCTCCTTGAAGCAGGTCAGGCCTGGGTAGACCTTGCGGATCTGCGCCTGCTTCCTCTCGATCAGCTTCTTGATGATCTGCGGTGGGAGAGGCCAGCTGGGAGCGAGCGGGGGAAGGCCTGGCGAGGGCAGAGTCTGGCTGGTCCCGGCCTGCTCCCCTCACCCTCGGGCCTTGGCGGGGGAGCCGGGCGCAGGGCCATGCCCGCAGGATGTGGCGGCCACCGCCCTCAAGGCTGCCTAGCGGCCAGGGCTGGAAGCAGGGCTTGCCCAGGGCGAGCCGGAAGCAGGCAGCAGCTCCGGGGAGTGGGTCTGGGTCTGCCCGAGGCAGGTGCTGCGTCGTGGCCGGACGCTGGCCTGTGACTAGCACGCGCATGGCAAAGCCCTGCTGGGAGCTGCCTGGGCCACGGAGACGCTGCCCGAGAGAGGCGCTCACAGGACAGCAGCCTCCTGGGCCGGCAGCAATGCCCTTTCCCTGCACTAGCGTCAAGAGCATTCAAGGTGTTGCGGGCACGCGGGCGTGGCGGGGGCAAGAAGCCAGGCCCCCGCCCAGGAGATACCTCCTTCTGCTTCTTGATGATGTGCGAGAGCTCGGTGTAGGGGATGCGGGGGTTGAGCTCGCACTCCATCAGCGTCGCCCCTTCGTAGTCCTTGATATAGCCCAGGTAGCGGCCCTTGGGCACCTTGATGTCCTTGGAGAAGCCCTGGAGAGGAAGGGGGGTTGTGAGAGCGAGCGAGCCACACCGGGGGGCGGGGGGATTAGGACACTCCCCTAGGGGGGGCGAGGGCCGGCGGCGCCAGGGGCCCAGACCTGCTTCTTGAAGTAGCCGATGGCGTACTCGTCGGCGTAGGTCAGGAAGTAGAGGATGTTGTGCTTGATGTGATACTCCTTCAGGTGGTTCATCAGGTGCGTCCCGTACCCCTGGCAGGCAGGCAGACAGACAGACGCCCGTCAGGCGAGACCCCGGGGCAGGTGGGTCTCAGTGTTTCCGAGAGGGCTTGGGGGGAGATGCCCCAGGCTGGCCCTGCCCCAGGACATGTTGGGGGAACAGACCCCAGCAGAGCGATTGCTCGGCCGCAGGAACAGCCAGCGTTAAACATGGTCCCCGGCCCGGCCTCGGGGTACCTCCCGCCGTCCACAAAGCTGCACTCACCAGGGCCGGGGCAAAACATCAGCTCCTGCCTCCCTCCCTCCCCCAGAGCCATGGCCTGCAGCCTCCCCCCTGCTATCTACACCTGGGCTCCCCACCCAAACCCCTCTGCAGCACCCCCAATCCCAACCTGCTGGCCATGCCCTGGGCTCCCACAAGCCCTGCCGTTCCCCTCATGCCGGACCCGCAGCCCCCCAGCTATCCCTGCCCTGGGCTCCCCCAGCCCTGCCAGTGCCCCCCCTCCCTACCCGCAGCCCCCACTATCCCTGCCCTGGGCTCCCACAAGCCCTACCGGTGCCCCTCCCTCCCAACCCGCAGCCCCCCCCCAGCTATCTCTGCCCTGGGCTCCCCAATCCCAACGTGCAGCTCCCCACTGTTTTCTCTCATTCACCCCCCTGGTGAGTGCAGTTTTCCCTTCACCTTCACTTGCTCGTTGGAGGTGACAGCACAGAAGACAATCTCCGTGAAGCCCTGGGTGGGGAACATCCGGAAGCAGATGCCCCCGATCACCCGGCCGTCCTTGATCAGAGCCAGGGTCTTGTGTTTGCTGCCGGGGGAGGCACAGCCAGAGTTACAGGGGGTGGGGGGCAGCCTCAATGCACATCCTGCCCCCCGCGAGTCGCTGCAGCAGCAGGGGGAGTGGGGAGGAGGTTGCAGCTCAGACAGCAGTGGCCCCGTTGGAGTTAACAGGATGGGACTGGGGAGGAATCTGGGCCGCAATGTCAGCCTGGCTTGGGGGTGCAGACCATTCCCCCACCCCACAGCTGCTGGGGTCACGCTGGGCCTGGGCCTCTGGAGCAACCAGGACGCAGGGACCGAACTGGGGCTCTCCACTTCCTGCATGAGCCAGGACCCCCCACCCGGAGCCTGCGCCCGGCTCCCCAGAGCAGACCCCCCACCCCGGAGCCTGCGCCCGGCTCCCCAGAGCCCCCCCCACATACGGGTCGAAGACGAGGCGGGTGATGTACTCCTTGGGCATGCGGGGCAGCTGGTGGGAGAAGACATTCTGCAGCCCCACCAGCCACATCAGGATCCGCTTGTTGGATTTCTGCGAGAGCGCGTTGCCGATGACGTGGAACTCGATGATGCCGCGTCTCTCCTCTAGCCGCGCCGTCTCGTCCCGCGCCGCGTTGGCTGACAGCAGGCTGGTCTGGGGCGCGGAGCGGGGGGTAAGGGACAAAGCCCTGTCCACCTACCCAACCCCCCCTCCGGCCCACTGACGCCCAGCCAGGAGCCAGCCCAGGGCATAGCGGGGCTCATGTCCTCCTGCAGCTGGCACTGGATTCCTCCTTGGCTGCTGCCCATTCCATCCTCTCCCCCACAAGAGAGTCACGCCAGGCCCCGGCACGGGGTCAGAGCAGGCTGTGACGAAGTGGGACTGTTCTTAATGTTTCCTCTGAATAGTGTGGGGGTGCCTCAGTTTCCCCTAGGCAGTTCTTAAGTATCTAGGGGGTGGAGTAAGGGTGTCTGATCATTGCAGAGCCCTAGAGGGCATGTGTGTGCAGGAGTCTGGACACAGAGAATGGCCAACACCCTGTTTCCTGGCAACTGATGGCCTGGGCCCTTCCCCCCCCTGCAAGGTGAGAGCTGAAGGGTTGGAGAACAAAGGAATCAGGTGACCTCCTGGCCCGGGAAAGGAACAAAGCCCAGAGCAGGGGGGGCTGGAGGGAGTTTCAGTTTGGGGCTGGCTGGGACATGGAGTGAAGTGCAGACGTGGTTGTCTGGCTCACTGCCCCCCAAAATGGACCCAGCTGAGGGGTCCCGTTCTCTGCACCTGCAAGCTCTGTTTTAGACCATGTTCCTGTCGTCTCTCAGCCAGCCAGTAAAACAGAAGGTTTATTAGTCACGTCTGACTGCGAAGTTGGGGTGCAGGACCCTCTGGCTTCCCCAGGAGCCCCGCCTGAGCGGACTCGCTGGGGGAAGCGCACGGAGGGGCAGAGGATGCTGAATGCTCCGAGGTCAGACCCAGGAAGGTGGAAGCTGTGTGAGCTGCGTGTCCTGAAGACAGGCTGCTCACAGAAAGGCGACTACCCCAGAGTCCTGACTGGCTTCATGGGGAGCAGTTCCAGAGCATCGCCCAGGGACTCCGTGACACAGGCGCCAGCCAACGTCTGGCACAGCTGCTCCAAAGGGCTGGCAGCTCCTACTGTCGCCAGCAACCCTGGCCCCACTAACGCAGCTCTCTGCCCTGCTCCCTACCCCGTACCTCCGGGCCCAGCATGGCAGCCGGGTCCGTGATGGTCAGCATCACCTCGTTGACCAGCTCCATGGGGATGTCGCCCATGACCCGGATCCGCTTGGCGTCCTCCAGCGTCAGGCTCTCAGGCAGCTTCCGCTTCTCACCTGCTCGGGCGGCAGAGGACGGTCACGCCAGGGCCAGGCCATGGGCCACTCGCTTCCCTGCATCTCCCACCCCATGTGGCTCAGGACGCCGCCTCCCGCCGAGCCACAGCGCAAGGGAGCCGGCAGCCGGCGCACTCGGACCCTGCAGCAGCAGCCAGGCCTCGGCAGGGCTGGGGCCCGCGGGAACCGGTGCTGCTGGGGCACGAGCATGGCTGGGAGGCCTTGCCGTCACCCCGCAGGGGGCTGCCCCTCTCGGCCACCTACAGGGTCAGGCCAGGCCAACTGGGTGCTCCATGGCTTCCTGGGTGGAGCTGCCTGTTAGGGAATTGGGCACGGCCCATCCCAGGCAGTCTGTGCTCGGGGGGGCGGGCGGCAGACGAGGGGTCTAAAGGCTGTTCTTTCATTCCCCCACCTTTGAGCTGAACGGCTCGTGGCCGACGGGAGCCAGGGTTACAGGGAATGGCGGGTGCAGGCTGTTCCCGAGCTGGCTGACGACGATCCACTTGGGCATCCACCGTCCTCACGTATCGCAAGGGCAGCCCCCTCCCCCTACCTCGCCGTCTCCACAGACCCTTCCACCCCCTGGAACCTGAGATCCCTTCCCCAGCCCACGCTGGAGACCCAAGCAGCCCCATGGACTCTCAAGAGTTCACTGTGGACCACTCTGGTCTGGCAGCACTTTGCCCCTTTCACTCCAGGGCAGGTGGCGCTGGCCAGAGGCCGACCCCTCCCAGGGCGCCGCGTCCTCGGGCACGAGCCCCTGGCACGGGGCGCACACAGTCCCAGAGGCGCTGGGGCCATAAAGGCTTGTGCCCCTGGGCAGGGTCCCAGGGCCATCTCAGCCCCTCCCCGCACCCACTGGGGGGGGGACGGGGGGGGGGGACGGGGGGGGACGGGGGGGGGGGGGACGACGGACGACAGTGCAGGGCTGGAGCCGGCGTTACCTGGCACAGGCTCTGCCGAGCTGGCGTCAAGGCTCATGGAGGACAAGGAGCTGCTGCTGCCGAGCTTCTTACTAAAGATCGGGGTGCTGGGCACGGCGACGGTGCTGACGGCTGCTGGGAATGAGAACGGAGCCTTTCACGCGCCGAACCCGCTGGCCCACAGCCCCCCGCCCCGGGCTTGGTGCCCACGTGGCCCCGGACAGGAGGCGTTTGCACTGGCCCTCCGCGGCCCACACCACCAGGCCGAGGAAAGCACGGGCTTGCAACGGAGCCGGCATGGCATGAGCCCAATCGCTCCCAGGCATCTCCCCAGTGAAGTACCTGGGCGTGGGACCAGCTGGGCGCCTTCCGTGGCTGGCATGGTGAAGTCAGATTCCCAGATGGGTGAGTTCTCCCCGTAGATCTCCTCTTCCAGCATGGACAGAAACCTGGCCAGGGCGGGTGACAGGGCATGTTAGCCAGCAGCCGGCAGGCTAGTGGCATGGCCATATCAGAGCTGCCAACCGTGAGCAGCACGGGGGGGGGGAGTGTGGGGCCACACGTGGCCACCCAGATTAACGGGGCAGGTACCCCATGGGGAGGAGCCTCACCCAGCGAGCTGGGCCCAGGGATCAGGTACGCAGAGACCAGACGTGACCCACCCATCACAGCCACCTCTGGGTTCGCCAGGGCCAGTGAGAGCCCCACCCCCTGGGAGCCAGCCCCACCCCCTGGGAGCCAGCCCACCTACTTGGGGAAATGGGTGAGGATGAGTGTCCGCTTCTCCGGCACCAGCTTGTCCTTCTCCACCCGGAACTTCTCCAGCAGCTGCCGGCGGGTGACGGTGAAAATGGACTTGAGCAGGCTGCGCCCGAAGACGTGGGTGGTCTCATAGCGGGGGAGGCTGTCACAACTCTGGGGCACGTGGCAGTAACACAGCCAGCTGGGGGGAAAAAGGGGGCAACTCCCAGGGACCTGCCCACTCCTGGACGCTGGTACCAGCCCCCAAGGGGCTGGCGTTATGACTGGGGTCGCAGCCATGGGCTGGGATGCAATTCGCAGCAGCTGCATCTTATCGGGAACGGAGGGGCAATGGGGTAGTCAAGATAGGGGACATTTCCCAGCAGAGTGCGGGGCACACAGAGACGCTGTCTCTCCAAGCCAGCCAGGGGCACAGCACGCTGGCTTCATGGCACTGAACCGTCACGAGGACCCATAACCCCACCCGCTGGCCCGGCCCAGATGCAAGCTGCGAAGTGCATTAGCCCATTGACAAGTTGCCCAGCAGAGCTGCAGGCCCTTCAGTGGCACAAGCATGTGCAGTCAGCACATGCCAGGGCGCACCACGCTGAGCCGCCGGGGGGCAGAGGCAGCTGCGGACGGCACTCCGGGGATGCAGCAGGCGCTGGGCATGCTTAAGAGCGGCAGGCTCAGGACCTCCAGGTCTGTGAATTCAGCGGGAAGCGCGGCGGGAGAGATCAGGACCAGAGAGCGCACGGCAGCTCAGGAGAGGAGGGTGAGCCCAGATCTCCTCAATGGGGACATGAAATGAGGGGAGACACAGTCAGGGCTCCCCCAGACCTGGGGGCTGGGCACAAGCTAAAGCCCCGTTAGCAAAGCAGGCGATGAACTGTCGGGGAGCACTGCGCTGGGACAGGGTCTGCACCAGCCCCGCCCCGCCCCTCTCCCCAGCGCTCACCGGGTGTAGTTGACTTTGTAGGTGGCCACGTCGTCGTTCTGCGAGCGCTGCCGGAACTGGGAGGGCGTCTCCAGCTTCCAGTAGTTGAGGCAGAGCAGGAACATCTTGGAGAGCTCGTACATGGTCTGACGCTCCTTGGGGGGCAGGTGGCTGAACTTGTACTGGACGAAGTTGAAGACTCCCTGTGGGGGCAGAGCGCCCGCAGAGCGTCAGGGGAGGCGAAGGCAGGCCCCAGCTGCGGTGGGCTTTGTCGCACAGCAGCCGACAGAGAGCTGGCTCTGCGCAATGAACACAGGGCTGGCAGAGGGGGGGTGCTCGAGGTTAACGCAGCCGAGGAGCTGCGGGAGGTGTGGAATGGAGCAGCCGAGACCCGGGTCCAGTTATGGATCAGGTGTAGTGGGATGAGTATGGGTGGATTCTCCAAGAATTCCCAGGTCATTTATCAACACAACAAGATCCTCACTGACCGGTTTGCTAAAGCTGGCAGCTTCCATCGGAGAGACTCAGGGCTGGGACCAAGGGGCGGCAGCAGGGAGCCCAGACCGGAATATTGGGGGCACATGAGGGTACAGACCAGAGCAGCCGAGTGGTGTGGCTCGGAGATGCACTGGCTGAAGCCTGGAGACATGACACTGGGCAAGACGGAGCCTGGTCTGACCCCGCCTGGCAATTCCTGCCCTGTCCCTCAAGCTCCACCAGAGCCCTCCCCACCCCTGCCCTCTGACTTACGAAGATCTACCACTTCCAGGGTCAGGGCGGGAGACCTCCACGAGAAACAAACGCGCCCAGCACTGGCCCACGGGGACGGATTTCCTCGGACCAGCGCTAACATGCGGCTTGGTTTGCTACTGAGGCACCCAGACGTACAGTGACGTGTCCGTGTCAGACCCTGGGTGGATAACAAGTCAGCCAGTTGCAGGGAACGTCTCCCAGTTATACAAGGATTATTGGGGCAGGGGGAAGAGACGCCAGGAAGCTAAAAGCCGTAAGATCCGGTTTGAGAGAGGGTCATCGGAAGACGCCAGCACCTCTCCCCCCGCCGGGGGCGTCCAGGCAGACACGTTAGCTGAGGGACAGCTGCATGTTACAGCAGAGGGTGCACCGGGCTTTGCGGTCACTGTGACAATGGACGGCCGCTCTGGAGCGCTGGCGTTACCTGCTCGATGTTCGGCTTCTCAAAGGGGGGGCTGCCAAGGGACCCTTCTACAACAGGACGGCTCATCTGCAGGATGCATTTCCTCAGCAGCTGGGGAGGCAAGGGGGAAGTGTCAAAGTGCCAGAGACCGGAAAGAGGCGAGGCTTACAGCAGCCACAGAAAGCTGTGACCATTACAGGACAGGCCAGGAGCAGCCGGCCAGACCCCCAGCTGGCTTAAATGGTGCCACGCTGGTGCCTTTAATGGGCTGTGTTGATTTACACCACCTGGGAACCTGTCCACTCCTTCCCTCGCAATGTATTCTCCCAGGGGGTTCAGCTCGGGACTGGGGTGGCAGGACAACATCTAGTTTCCAGCAAAGCGTCTGCTTTCAAGCCAGTCTTACAGTTGGGTTGCCTGAAGCAGGTTTCCAGACATAGAATAAATCGCTGGTGCTCAGCCTTTCCAGACAGTGGAACCCCTTTCAGGAGGCTAGGGTACCCCAAGTTCCATCTCACTTAAAAACTACTTGCTTACAAAATCAGACATAAAACCACAAGAGCGTCACAGGGCACTCCTACCGACCAATGGCTTGTTTTCTCATTTCTACCATATAATTATAAAATAAAGCACCCGGAATATAAATATTGTGCTTACATTTTAGTATACAGCATCTAGAGCCGTATAAACAAGTCACTGTACGACGTGTTACTTTGTACTGACTTCGCTAGTGCTTTTTGTCTAGGCTGTTGTAAAACTAGGCAAATATCTAGGTAAGTTGATGGACTCCCTGGTACGAAGATCTCTGCGTACTCTTGGAGTATGTACCCCAGCAGCTCACTGGGCTTAGATCCCTACATGGGCTCGTTATTCCCAGGCCTAATGGAGACCACACACAGACTCTCCCGCACTTCTCACGTAATCCGTCTGCTGCTCCTTCCCACGTCCCGCCAGCAGCACCTCAGCCTGGTGAACAGTTCACAGCATCAATAAAGGAGCAGAGGTCAGCTAGGACTCCAGGAATTTTAGGCAAGATGCAGGTTAGGAGAGGAGTGGCTCTTTCAGTCTCGTATGACAACGAACTAGCATTCCTCGCTCAAGAACAGGGGCATTGGGGGCTTCTGAGCCCACCAGAACACATAGCCATGGAGGTGTCAGGAATTCGGAGTTCCATCCCTTGCCAGGCAGGATGTATACAAACGGAATAGTTACTTTAGGTCTTACACAAATCAGATGCATTGTCAGTGGATAACACGTGCAGATCGTTTCCCCAGGAAGGGAATGAACTCTCCAGCTACCCTGATCCCATTTATCCAAGGTGGAAGAATGAGCACTCCCTCCAGAAAGGCGCAGCCCTGAGGCCAAGAGGACGCCTGCCTTGAGGATGGCCTGGTGATACTATAGCTGAGAAGGACTGTAAACGCTTCTGGGCATGGGGCAGGAACGAATTGGGGTGCCCATGGGACAAAGCGGAATCCCCGCCTCAGAGCTGACTTCAACCAAGCGTGCCCTGGAAAGTAACTGCACGGAACAGCAACCAGACCAGAGGCAGGCAGAGATGTGCCAGATTTTAGGCTGGAAATAGGAAGCCTTTGCAGTGGCTACCCAGAGGTGGAACCAGCGTCAGGTGGGCAGGAACAGCCAGCCCATCCTGCGGAACAAGAGCAGGGTCCCAGCACGGCAGGGTCAGAACTGCTGCCCTCCGGGGCCCCCACGCGACCGGGCCAGGACATTAAGGCATTGGCTCAGCTGCTGTCCTGGAGGCCCGGCTTGCGGCTCAAAGGCAGAGCTAAGCCGCTGCTCCCCCACCGTACCTTGAACAGGTAGAAATACACTTGCTTGGTGTCCGTGTCCTCCTCTTTGTGGACCGACATGAAGAGATTTTCCACGTCCACCACCATCCCCAGCAGCCGGCTGATCTCCTCTTCCGAGACGTTCTCCAGGTGGGACACGTGGTCAGCTGGACGGGGGAGCAGCGAAGAAGACGGGCAGGCTTAGGTGGTGACGCCCTGGCACCAGCCACAGGGCACCGCCCGGCGTTGCCAGGGGGCCTCGAAGGCATGCGCCGCACTAAACGCGGCCCCGACCTGTTCGGACAGTCCCACCAGAGCAGAGCCTGGCGCGCTCCCAGCCCATGCCCCGCCCTGCGTCCCCGTGCCGGGGGCAGGCGCCGGAAGGCCTTACCTAGGGCGTGTCCACAGCTACGGCACAGCTCGCTCAGGTTGGTCACGGGCTGCTGCAGGTCCATGCGGGGGGCAGTGGGCGGGTTGGGGTTCTTCCAGCCGTTGCACTTGCAGGCATCGTTGGCCTACGCCAGGGACAGGCAGGCGATCGGTGCGGGGGCCTGGACCTCACCCCAAGGGCCGGCCCTGCCCTTTCCCTTCCCCATTCCGTGCCACCCCGGAGGGGTGGAACAGCCAGGGAAGGTGCCTCAGACAACACCCCACCGCACAGGGCGTGGGGGGGTCCCGTGCAGCCTGCCGGCCCCAGGGGACAGGCTGGGATCGCTCAGCTCCTCAGGCCCGGAGAAGGCTGGTGCACGAGGAACCCCAGCCGGGACCTGTGGCCATTGGGGGCGGGGGATGATGTCGCTGCCGAAGGCTGGAAAAAGCAGCTCCCAGCTCCCCCCACCCCACCCCACAGGCAATGAGACCCCGACTGGCCACATCCCCCTCTGCGCCCAGCTTCCCCAGCTCCGCCTCAACACTGGACAGCTCCCCCAGCTTCTCCCCCCACCCCGAATCAGCGCCCCATGCCTGGCCCTCCCCACCCACCCCCGCACCCTGCGGGCCGAGAACACCCCCCAGGCCCCCCCCGCACCCCCAGGGCCCCCCCGCACCTTGCAGGCCGAGAACACCCCCGGCCCCCCCGCACCCCCAGGGCCCCCCCCCCCGCACCTTGCAGGCCGAGAACACCCCCCGGGCCCCCCCGCACCCCCAGGGCCCCCCCCCCGCACCTTGCAGGCCGAGAACACCCCCGGCCCCCCCGCACCCCCAGGGCCCCCCCCCGCACCTTGCAGGCCGAGAACACCCCCCGGGCCCCCCCGCACCCCCAGGGCCCCCCCCGCACCTTGCAGGCCGAGAACACCCCCCGGCCCCCCCGCACCCCCAGGGCCCCCCCGCACCTTGCAGGCCGAGAACACCCCCGGCCCCCCCCGCACCCCCAGGGCCCCCCCGCACCTTGCAGGCCGAGAACACCCCGAGTTTCTCCAGCTTCTTGGCCCGCGGGAAGCCCCGCACCTGGGCCTTGCGCTGACTCGCGCGCTGCTGCTGGCTCAGCCCGGGCCGGGCCGGGTCGCTGGAGCCGGCGGCGGGGCCGGGGCCGGGGCCGGGGCCGGGCGCGGCCGCGGGGGGCGGCGGGGTCCGGCCGGGCTGCGAGGCCTCCGGCTCCGCCATGCCGGGACCGCGGCGTGCGCGCCAGGCCGGCACTGCGCCTGCGCGGGCCCGGGGGCTGCTGGGAGATGTAGTCCCCGAGCTGGGGGGCGGGGCTTAGCCTGCCCGGGGCGGAGCCAGCCAGAGACCCTTCACGCGGGCCGGCCCGGGGGGGCAAATGCCCCCCGCACACACACACACACACAGAGCAGCCCCAAGTGTGGGGTAAATAACCCCCTCCACGGGGCACCTCCCCTCCCCCTACACTGCGGGGTAACTCCCCCCCTCATTTTCACGTGACCCCCCCAAATGGGATAACCCCCCAGTGCATGCAGGAAGAGGGGGCTCTCGCCATGTGGGGCGCTGACTTCCCAGCGGGTCTAGGGAGCCCAGAGCAGCACGGCGTGGCCCGAAGCCCAGCCCCACCTCCCAGGGTGCAGCCACCCCCCGCCAAAGGTGCACACACCAGCAGGCAGGACCCCCAAGGGGCTGGGGAAGGAGTGCAGGTCTTCTCAGGGGCCTCCACCCTGAGCAGCTTTAGGGTGCAGGGGTCCAGCTCCCCTGGGGAACCAGACGGGCTAGAAAGAGAACGCTGGCCGACAGCTGAGATCCCGCGGTGCGTCCGTCCCGCGGGCGCTGGGCCCGGCGGGGGCACACCCGGGTTTGTGCAAGGGCTGATAAGCCGGCGAGAGCCGACAACCTGGTGAATAGCTGGGGCCAGCCCCGAGGCGCTGGGCAAGGGTCTGTCTGTCAAAGGATCGTTGTTGGGGTGGGTGTCGGAACTCGCCCCGTACGAAACCTCTCTCTGCCCCAGTTACGTTAAAAACCCATTTACCTGCAGAGCACTCGTCTAGCCTTGTATCCATCCCCACCCCCCAGACAGGCTCCGAAATGGGAGGATGGGAAAGGCCTCAAGAGGTCATCCGGCCCAGCCCCCAACACCGAGGCAGGACCAAATAAAGCGAGACCATCCCTGAGAGGTGCTGGGGGGTTTTAAGACCAGATTCGACAATGAGACGGATTCCACCACCTCCTCGGTTCATCCGTTAGACCGGGGGGGGGGCAACCGGAGCCTGAGAAGGAGCCAGAATTTACCAACGTACGTTGCCAAAGAGCCCCAGTAATACGTCAGCAGGCCCCCATCCGCTCCCCAAACCCCACTCCAAGCACCTCCCGCCCCCGGCCGGCCCCGCCCCCTCCTTCCCTTCCCGCACCTGCTGATCAGCTGTTTGCTCCTGTGCAAGAGGCTGTGGGGGGGAGGGGAGGAGCGAGGGCAGGGCAGGCTCAGGGGAGGGGGCGGGAAGGGGCGGAGTGGGGGCAGGGCCTGTGGCAGAGCCAGGGTTGAGCAGCGAGCACCCCCCAGCACATTGGAAAGTTGGGGTCTGCAGCTCCAGCCCCGGAGTCGGTGCCTAGACAAGGAGCCGCACAGTAACTTCTGACGAGCCACGTGTGGCTCCGGAACCACAGGTGGCCCCCTCCCCGGGGCTAGATATTAGGGAAATCTTCCTAACGCCTCTTTTTAGTCCCCCCTTCCCAAACTCGATTCGTTACACTTTTACCGCATGCTCAAATATTTTCCAGCCTGAAACGGTACAGGGCTCTGAATTACATTTCATTCCCGCTCCCCGCCCAGACCAAACGTCTGGAACTGTCGCCCAGGACCTCGCAATCCCTGCAGTTGTCCCTAGCACCGAGCAATATCACGTCTCCCCCTCTGGAGTCTGTTTGGAAATCACAGTGAAAACCCATTTCTGCAAAATCCACTGACAACGGGAATGGGGGGGAAACAGGTTTATTCCAGCAGTAACACAAACTAGAGACACCCGGAGAGAATCGTCACCTGGCAACCCAGCCGGGGGGAACAGGGAGGTGGTGACACTCGCACATTCGTTAGTTGTCACGGGGTCCCCGGGCGATGCTCTGGGACTGCTCCCCACGACGCCAGGCAGGACTCTGGGGCAGTCGCCTTCCTGTGAGCAGCCTGTCTGCAGGACACACAGCTCACCCGGCTCCACCTTCCTGGGTCTGACCTCGGAGCATTCAGCCTCCTCTGCCCCTCCGTGCGCTTCCCCCAGCGAGTCCGCCCAGGCGGGGTCCTGGGGAAGCCAGAGGGTCCTGCCCCCCAACTCTGCAGTCAGACGGGACTCTCAGTCAGCCAGTAAAACAGAAGGTTTATTAGACGACAGGAACATGGTCTAAACCAGAGCTTGTAGGTGCAGAGAACAGGACCCCTCAGCTAGGTCCATTTTGGGGGGCAGTGAGCCAGACAACCACGTCTGCCCTTCACTCCGTGTCCTGGCCAGCCCCAAACTGAAACTCCCTCCAGCCCCTCCTCCTCTGGGCTTTGTCCCTTTCCCAGGCCAGGAGGGCACCTGATTCCTTTGTTCTCCAACCCTTTAGCTCTCACCTTGCAGGGGGGAAGGGTCCAGGCCATCAGTTGCCAGGAAACAGGGTGTCGGCCATTCTCTGTGTCCAGACCCCTTCACACACCTGCCCTCTAGGGCTCTGCAACGATCATACACCCTTACCCCACCCCCTAGAGACTTAAGAACTGCCTAGGGGAAACTGAGGCACCCCCACACTATTCAGAGGAAACATTAAGAACAGTCCCGCTTCGCCACAGTTACAGGTACCAGAATTCTGCCGGTCCCAGGAGGATGCTCCCTGGCTCGCTGCTGCAGACCCACATGGGGCTGAAGCCCCGCCACGGCCACCGTCTGAGCGGGAGCAGCCGCACCAGGTACCGGGAGCAGCTTGTCATGTTTCTGCTGCTCAAACTCCTGCTGCCTTTGACTCGCTCTGCCTCGCGGGCTCGGGACCCTGGCCCTGGCAGCAGCCACAGGGCTGCCTTATATAGCCACCCCGCCCTTCCAGGCCCTTCCTCCTCTGCCCACGTAGGGGCCGCGCCGGCCTCCTCTGCCCGTAGACGGTGCTGGGGGCGAGACGAGCCTGGCCTTGTGAGCGACCTACCGGGCCGCACAGCCGAGCCGGCAGCTTCTGGCAGCCACAAGCAGGGCCTGGCATCGCTCCCTGCCCCAAAGTCTCTGGGAACTTCTAGGGCCTCCCTGAAGTTGGCCCCTGTTGTTTGCATCCGAGGCTGGCGGGAGGGGCCCGGCGATAGCTCCCAGGGCACAGGCAAGGTGCGGGGGCTGGAAAGGGTGAAGTCCCTTATTTGTGTAGGGCCCACATGTGGTCCGTATGGAGCGTGCGTGTGTGTCTGTGTGCCCACACGCCTCGGCACGTGTCCGCTCTGTGACCCGTGTCAATAGCACCGGGCCAACGAACCAACTCGCCCGACAACCGTGCTGCCCCAGGGAGCGGGCGCCCGGCCCTGGGCCCATCCCCTCCCGGCCGACGCAGAGGCCTGGGATCACCCAGCAGTGCCGGGCCCTGCTCGTGGCTGTGCCTCACCTCCGGTGGAGCCCAGGGGCCCCCGACGTCCCCCCCGAGGGAGGCCCGCTGGGCGTGTCGGGGGGGAACCCACCAGCCCCGGCTCAGGCGGGCCACGGGTGCAGCAGCAGGGCCACGGTGCCAGCCTGTGCCACGGCCCGAGGAGGAGCCCGCAGCGAGTGCTGGGGCCAGCCAGTCCTGGCAGAGGGACCACCAGCACAGGGGGAAATCAGGAACATTTATTTCACGTAAAAATACGTCACACGCCGTGAATCTGGCTTGCAGCCAGCCAGGTCAGCCAGGGCGCGGCCCTGCCAAGTCTCAGCCCCGGCCTCTGGAGCTGCTCCTCGGCTGTTACCCCTGGGCTCTGCCGTCGGCCCCGTCCTCCGAGCCCGGCTCAGCCGGTGCCGCTGAGCCCCCCGCAGGGCTGAGCTGGATGGGCACGTTCCTCGTGGGGACGGCTGCAGGGGCCAGGCACGGGGCTTCGATGCACAGCTGCCCCTCCCTGGAGATGGAGCAGGTCAGGCGGTCGGTGTCCACGGCCTCGGGCACGTCCCACTCCCTCTTGAACACCTCGTACTTGTAGGAGAAGGAGCCTTTGCCGTCCTCGCTCTGCGTCTCCTTCCTGCCCGTCAGCAGCACCTTCCTGCCCACCAGCTTCACCGCCAGCTCCTGGGGCGCGAAGCCCCGGACGTCCTGCCGCACGGCGAAGGGCTGGGCCGTCCCCTGGGCCAGGGCCGTGCTGGAGCTCTGGCCTGGCTCCCCGCCGGGGCTGCTGCTCCCTCCGCCAGCCAGGAGCTGCCCCACGCTGCTTGCAAACGCCCTGGCCGTCTCCAGCTCCCGCAGCAGCTCCCGCTCCAGCTCAGCAAAGAGGGCCCCCGGGGCCGGCCACAGAGTGCGCACGGGGCCCAGCCGGGCAGCCACGGGGCCGGGGGCGGGCGGCAGGAGCTGCAGGCGGCATAGCATCACTGCTGCTGGGGCTGCCTCTGGCTCGGGGCTGAGTCCTCTCTGGTGGGGGCCAGGGGCCGATCTGCTCGGGGCCGGGGGCCGGCAGCTTTTATCCCCTCCCATGGGGGCCTGGCTCCTTCCAGAACTCTCTGGCCCGGATGCCTCTGGCTGACTGGGACAGCTCATTCCTGTTACTCAGCCCCCAGGACAGGCAGCTCCCACACCCCGCTCTGCCCTCCTGCTAGCTTATAATTAGCAGCCTCGTCTCAGCCTCAAAATAGAAACTCCTGGCAGCTCTGCGACCCCCGTCAACGGCCTGTGACCGACCTTCCTTTGCCAGACGGAGTGGAGCCACGGCCCGGGCCCTGCCAACCTTGCCCGTGGCCCAGCCCTGCCCCAGCCTCCAGCGCTGGTCCCTCCCTCTAGTGCCAGCTCCTCCCCCCCAGGTTACACACGGGGCAGCGGGGAATGACTGCCCTTGGCTGAATGCCCAGGGTGCACCTGCCCGGCTCAGAAGAGCCTGCCCCACAGAACTTATGCACCTTGCCAATTCAATGCAGCCAGCAGAGAGGCAATGGGGTAGAGTGGGTCAGCCCAAGGGCTGGGACTTGGGGAACCCGGCCTCTATTCCCAGCTCCGCCGATGACCTTGGGCACATCACTTCCCCTGTTCCGTGCCTCAGTTTCTCCTCCCTACACCTTGACTAGCTTGTAAATGCCTGAGGCCAGGAATTCCTCACTGTGTGTACTAGGCCCAGCACACGGGGTCTCCCAGCTCAGGGTGGTCCTGACATACAGGCAATAACTCATCACGTGATGGGCTAACGAGGCGACTCAAGCCCCACTCAAGGGCGGTTGTTGATTTCTGAACCAGGGCACTGAAGGGCCCGTCCCACAGCTTGGCCTGAAAGAACCGTAGTGCGGATGCCCCCTTTCACTTGGGGTCCATTTACGGAGGGCTAGAAAGTGGGGGCTAGAGGTGACAGACCTGGGCCGGGTGCACCAGGGATGTGCGCTGAACGGCTGGCTGGCCTCTGGGACAGGGCAGGGTTTGGGTTTGAATTGCCGGGAGCTAAAGAACTGTCTCCTTCCCCCAGAGCAAGACCCTTGGTGCCGGGAGGCAGGGGACGTGCGCGGGGGTGAAGGACACTCCTGGTGTTGTGCTGCTCAGCCCTCAGCCCCTCTCAGCCCCGGGGTTTTCCTAGGCCCATAGATCCCCAGGCCAGAGGGGACCGTTGTGATCAGACCGGAGCCCCTGCTCCAGGCTAATCCTCACAGCAGGTAAAAGCAGGCACCGCGGGGTTTCCCCTGCCCAGACCCCGGCTGGTGGTGGGGCTGGCCCACGCGCCTGTAACCCGAGCCAGTGGCCCCTCCTGCTGCTCTATTTGGAGTGGGGAATCCAGCCCAGGGCTGCAGTCACTGTTATTTTGGCCCATGAGTAACCCCTCGCCATCAGCCTCATAAAAATAGGCAATGGGGCCTGGCGGGGGCGTCCGGGCCAGAGGGTTCTGGAAGGAGCCAGGCCCCCACGGGAGGGGATAAAAGCTGCCGGCCCCCGGCCCCGAGCAGATCGGCCCCTGGCCCCCACCGGAGAGGACTCAGCCCCGAGCCAGAGGCAGCCCCAGCAGCAGCGATGCTATGCCGCCTGCAGCTCCTGCCGCCCGCCCCCGGCCCCGTGGCTGCCCGGCTGGGCCCCGTGCGCACTCTGTGGCCGGCCCCGGGGGCCCTCTTCGCTGAGCTGGAGCGGGAGCTGCTGCGGGAGCTGGAGACGGCCAGGGCGTTTGCAAGCAGCGTGGGGCAGCTCCTGGCTGGCGGAGGGAGCAGCAGCCCCGGCGGGGAGCCAGGCCAGAGCTCCAGCACGGCCCTGGCCCAGGGGACGGCCCAGCCCTTCGCCGTGCGGCAGGACGTCCGGGGCTTCGCGCCCCAGGAGCTGGCGGTGAAGCTGGTGGGCAGGAAGGTGCTGCTGACGGGCAGGAAGGAGACGCAGAGCGAGGACGGCAAAGGCTCCTTCTCCTACAAGTACGAGGTGTTCAAGAGGGAGTGGGACGTGCCCGAGGCCGTGGACACCGACCGCCTGACCTGCTCCATCTCCAGGGAGGGGCAGCTGTGCATCGAAGCCCCGTGCCTGGCCCCCGCAGTCGTCCCCACGAAGAACGTGCCCATCCAGCTCAGCCCTGCGGGGGGCTCAGAGGACCAGGCCAACGTCAGCAGAGCCCAGGGGTAACCCCCTGAGCTGCTGGCAGCCGCCCCGGCAGAGCAACCGAGAACAGATTTTTGGAGCCTAAAACAAGTGGCTTCAAAACTAGCATCACTTTTTGTCACTATGGTCAGAGCAAAAGTGATTCCAAATAGTTTTTGTACCAAATAAATTCCTCTCCCTAGAAATCAGACCCTGCTGGTTGAGTCACTTCCCAGGCACGTTGGTGTGGGTCAGTCTTGGCTGCTGATGTACAGGGATTAGGCCCCATGGGGCAGGATAGAGCAGCAGGAGAAGCAGCCCCAGGGTCTGTCTACACTGCACACAAACCTGGCTCTGCGGATTGGAGCTTCCAAGCCCACCCTTGAGCGTCTCACTGAATTCAGCAGAACCTGCAGGAAGGAGTGGGAAGGGGGTCTCGGCTCACCCCGCTGCCCAGGGGAGCCCTGCCCCAAGGAACAGGCCTGGGGGTGCCTCCCCCAGGGAGGGAAGGGGCAAGCATGGCTTTCTCACTGAGCAGAGGCGTTTCCTCCCAGAGCAGGGACCCCTCTAGCACTGCCAGGGCCTTTGCATTGTCCTGTGCAGGTACCAGGGGCAGGCCCAGCTGCAAGAAAAGGTGGGGAGGTTACAGGACATTCAGCTCACAAGTTCCTGGACAGGGGGTGCTATCTAACACACAGAGAGGAGAGCGGACAGCCTCGAACACCTGGGTTCTAGTCCTCGGCTCATCCCCTTTACTGTTAATTAGAGTCACAGATCCTTGTATGGACAAGCAGCTTGATACCACAGCACCCATCCGAGACAGGTGGTAGACAAGTCACTCCCTGACTCCAGGCTTTCCATCCGAACAAGGGGGGGAAGAGGCTGGCTCCTAAAGCCTTTGTGATCATGTAGAAGCTGCTCATGAGACCGACCCAGGGATGGGGGGTGCTTTGAGCTGCAGCAGGAAGCCCATAGGCCAGCATTAGGCACCCTGCCTAGCAGCACCTTGTCACGGAGTCCCTGGGCGATGCTCTGGAACTGCTCCCCATGAAGTCAGTCAGGACTCTGGGGTAGTCGCCTTTCTGTGAGCAGCCTGTCTTCAGGACACACAGCTCACACAGCTTCCACCTTCCTGGGTCTGACCTCGGAGCATTCAGCATCCTCTGCCTCTCCGTGCGCTTCCCACAGCGAGTCCGCTCAGGCGATGCTCCTGGGGAAGCCAGAGGGTCCTGCACCCCAACTTCGCAGTCAGACGTGACTCTCAGCCAGCCAGTAAAACAGAAGGTTTATTAGACGACAGGAACATGGTCTAAAACAGAGCTTGCAGGTGCAGAGAACGGGACCCCTCAGCTGGGTCCATTCTGGGGGGCAGTGAGCCAGACAACCACGTCTGCACTTCACTCCATGTCCCAGCCAGCCCCAAACTGAAAACCCCCTCCAGCCCCCCCTGCTCTGGGCTTTGTTCCTTTCCCGGGCCAGGTGGTCACCTGATTCCTTTGTTCTCCAACCCTTTAGCTCTCACCTTGCAGGGGGGAAGGGCCCAGGCCATCAGTTGCCAGGAAACAGGGAGTTGGCCATTCTCTGTGTCCAGACTCCTGCACACACCTGCCCTCTAGGGCTCTGCAATGATCATACACCCTTACCCCACGCCCTAGATACTTAAGAACTGCCTAGGGGAAACTGAGGCACCCCCACACTATTCAGAGGAAACATTAAGAACGCTCATGAGACCGACCCAGGGATGGGGGGTGCTTTGAGCTGCAGCAGGAAGCCCATAGGCCAGCATTAGGCACCCTGCCTAGCAGCACCTAACTCGCTACCCTATTTCATTGCTGCAAAGGTACTGAGCTCAGACCACAGGAGAAGCCCCCACAACCCCCTCCCGCAGCTGGGGAACTCGGGGCAGGAGGCTGTGAGTGAAAGGAGACAGGAGCATTTGCAAATCAGCAGACTCCAGAGGTGCTGGCTAAGTGGGACAGGCCCTAGATGGCAGCTTTTATCACCTTCGTTAAGCGAAAGCCCAGACATTCCTGCTGGTCTCTGCCAAGCACAGGGAAGGTTAGATGCCTCCAGCCATAGAGCGAGCCAGCTCGTCACCTTGCTGTGTCGCTCCCAGTTACCGCTTTGAACGGTTTCTAGAGAGAAGCTAGAGTTAGTCTGTGGGAGATTGCTGGGTGCTTCCTGCAGCTCCCATTAATCTCAAGAGCAGCTGCCACTGAGATTCCAGCTGGAAAATGGGAGAGGCCAGGTTGCCCGCTAAAGGAACAAGCCAAGCAGGAGCAATTGTGCAAGGAAAATACACTAGAGTCTTCACACCGCCCACATGCTGTGTCTGCCCTCCACTAACGGGAACGGTCTGTGACATGGATACTAGTTGCAGGGTGGCTTTCCCATTGCATTGCAATGGAGTATGCAGGGGAATTATGAAGTGGGCTGGTCTTCATACCGTACAGGCCTGTTCAACCCCTTTACCATCACGGTGCTGCTGATCTGGGATCCTCCCTACACACAGTTTGGTTCTACCCTATGCAGCCCAAAGAGCAGCAGGTCTCACTCCACATTTATCACAGAATCTTAGGACTGCAAGGGACCTCTAGAGGTCTCGAGGCCCCTGCACTCATGGCAGGGCTAAGTATTATCTAGAGACCATCCCTGCTCTTAAAAATCCCCAATGATGGAGATTCCACAGCCACCCTGGACAATTTATTCCAGTGCTTAACCACCCTGACAGGTCAGAAGTTTTTCCTAATGTCCAACCTAAACTGCCCTTGCTGCAATTTAAGCCCATTGCTTCTTGTCCTATCCTCACACATTGAGGATTCTTCTCCCTCCTCCTGGTAACAACTTTTTATGTACTTGAAAACAGTTCTCATGTCCCCTCTCACCCTTTTCCAGACTAAAAAAAAACAATTTTTTCAAGCTTCCCTTATAGGTCATGTTTTCTAGACCTTTCATCATTTTTGTTGCTCTTCTCTGGACTCTCTGCACTTTGCCCACATCTCCCCTGAAACGCTCCCCTTGTACACACAGGATCAGCTAGGGAAGAGGTTGGTGTTACCTTTCCCGGGATAAGGGGCCCTGCTAGTGGCAGGAACGAGGTGCCTCCGACTGCAGCACTGCCCTGCCAGCTAGCTTTTACTGTAGACTGAAGTTAAGGTACAGGTAGCAGGCATGACTGTCCCCCCTTTCAGCAACGCGCTCCCTGCACTGAGGGACACCTCACAACACCCGCTCCAGCCATTGGCTAATGCTGCTAGATCGAGCAGTTCCTCTGTCTGGGGGCAGAGATGGGGTTACTGATTAAGACAGCTGAGCTGGTTGTTGCTTCTACCTTTGCCCTGTTCAGACTGGGAAAAAGGAAGTTCAGTTAACCGCTCTGTCATCATTTTCCACATGGCAAACTCCAACTTGGCTGGTCCATGGATTTCTGAAATTCAGGATTTCTCTCCAGCTGCCTCTGTTTGTTGTTAGTGCTCAGTGTTGCTGCAGCTGTGGGCATAGTTACCAAATCCTTCAAGCCATCAGACAGGTGATGGGCATGTTGGGCTTAGACTTTTCCTCCAGACTGTCATCCGTAGCCAGATGGGCCACTTTCATTTTATGGGAGGCTTGTTTCCTGTGCATCTTGCCATCCTCTAGGCCTGGTTTCAGAGTAGCAGCTGTGTTAAGCCGTATCCGCAAAAAGAACAGGAGTACTTGGGGCACCCGAGACTAACATTTATTTGAGCATAAACCTGGTTCAAGCTGGCACTGGTTCTGTGCCTTTTAAAAAGAGTCCCTGTGTTCTCAAGACAATCCTTTCAGTTTTCTCCACCATGCCTCCCCTTTACTCTTGGCACTTCCACTCAGGTTAGGCAGTTACACCAAGCACAACGGGGAATCTAGACACTGCCATGGTAATCTACAAGGATCAGCGAGTAGAACAGTGATGGATTCAAGAGACCCGAGTCCTACTCCTGATCTGCCACTGACCTGCTGGAGGGTCTTGGTGAGGCACTTACTGCCACTCTACACATGGGGAAACAGGGGCACAACAATGCTGACTTCTCGGAGCTCTTTCGTGTTGTGCTTTAAGAGCTAGCTGGCACAAATTCATAATGAAACTACACTGGCCAGTTTCACTTTCGGGTACTAGCGTGATGCGTGGGGAACACTGGAACCCAACTTTCGTTTACGTGGCTTTAATAAAACTCAAACATTTCTGGTCACATTTGATTTATAAAAATTTTTTTTAATCACAACGTAAGTTTGTGATGAAGGCTAAGTTGACAGTTCCTCTTTAAATACCAATCTGTATAAGACATTGCATCAGCCAACGTGAGTTAGACTCCAGCAACAGAAGCTATTTTAATACCTCCCTCCAGGTTTTATTTTGTGGAATTATGAGGTTTAATACAGATGGTTTCCACAGACAAATTACTCCAAGTCTCCCCCTCCCCATCTCTGTACATCAGTAAACCAGAGCGGCTTGCACTCGAGCAAGGTTATTAACATTAGTGGCATCACATCACTGTCAAAAAGGACAATTTTGTTTTGTTTTTTATACAAGATTTTTTTTTTGCAAAAAAATTGCAACAGGATTATTAGTGCATTACACCAGAACTGAAGAGATAGAAAAAAGAGTTGGCATGCTAAAGTCCAACACCAAAAGGAGGACGACAGAAGGCTAGTTGGTATGTACTATATTGACAAGATACTGATTGGTTACATGTTGAAGAAACGTACAATACAAAATACAGAAGAAACCAGTTTTGCTCCCCTCTGCCCCCCCACCCCAAAATACTCATAATTGTGATTTGGTCGAGACATGGCTCCGACACCACAGCTGAATGTCATTATAATGCTATCGTTTTATTTAGTGGTTGTTCTAGGCATGTGGCATTGAACTAGCCTTCGCTTGTTCAAGTGGATAACTCTGAAACAAGATCCCACCTAAGGGACGAACGGCCCTTGTTTCCAATAGTGGACGAGAAGCTTGTGGGAGCCGTTCGGCTCGAACTCTCGCCTAGCAGAGGCGGGAAGAGGCCAGCACGTGTATCCACCACCAGGAAGAGCAGTTCATATATTAAAAAAGTGACTTAAGACTTAAAATGGAATTAGTATTTGTACAGAAAGGTGCAGGTGGACTAGCTCCCTCCAGCCTATGATCAGAAGGAGATGGA